ATAGAACGTGAAGTTTTTTTTAAGGAGAGATTGGATTTCAGTTGCCTCTTTCACTTGCTTGGCAGAATGCTGGCATTAGTTAATACCTTCCAGCAAATGACTCACTGTCACTGGAGGCTGTTTACATCCAGCTGAAACCATAAAGCAAACTGCTTTCACAGGAAATTTCCACCCCTCAGGTGGTTTTGTGTCAGAGGGACAGCTCTGGAGACAAAATTACAGAGACAAGGCTGAGATGGTTGGGACACGTACAGAGGAGGGATATGTTTTTTTTTCAATATATTACTTAAAATAGTGTGTATTGTACAATTTATTTAGGTTTGTCACTAAAAAAATTTTTTCTTAAAAACACACATTTAAAATATGATACACTTGTTGTTACAGGGTTAAGGAGTATTTTATAAATACTTGCAGTTTTAATAACTGCCTAAATAAGTGTCCCGGTGCACTTAAAGATTCTTGCTGAGCAGCAAGACTTAACTTTTTGACATGTGTTATTTGAGAATAAAGTGTTACCTCGATTTTGACATTTCAAATAATCCAGAGCACAGCATATTGAAAAACAGTGGAAGTCGTCTTTATTTCATTCAACAGAGAAGCTGCTGCAACATTGGAGTGAACCACTGAGCAGAAACTAACATTCACACTGAGCCGCTGAAAAGATGACCTGGCACAGTGGATCTGTAAGGCTTAAGGACGCCTCAATCACATGCATACACACACTCAACCTCATTTACATCGGCTATCTTACACCTGTGTGGCTGCACAACCTGCAGCCTCATTGCTATCCCTCCTCCCTCTAATGTGGTCAGTCAGAGGTGAGGGGTTAAGGGTCACCTTGGGATCAGGTAACATCTAGTCCCTGCGCCTCAAACGCAGGGCTTTTTCATGACTTTGACATAACACAGAGACGTTAACCGTTCATCTCTATGGTACACATCTAAGCAACGTAACCCCCCTGAAAAAACACTGCATGGCCAGCCGTGGGCCTGGAGAGCGGAGATCAAGGGGTGCTATGGGTAGGGCATGCTCTGGCCAAAGGGAGGGCGAGGAGGAGTACAGCACTGGCCAAGACAGTAATTAGATTGGTCACTTGGTAGATCGTCGGGTAGGCTCAGAGGCGGTGGGAGGAGGTGGCGGGCCACGGCGGTCTAGATCTTCAATGTAGAACATGATGAGCTTCCTGCGCTCCTCTGGGACACACTCCAGAACAAGGTACCGCTTGTCGTTCTGAAGAATCTTCTCTACGTCCTTCAGATGCTGCTCCGACTCCTGGATGAGCTTTCTCGACCTGCGCACAAGGAGACAGGCAGAGCGCGCTCACAAGCAGGAATACAATAAGATGAACAGCACCCTCTCCAAGTCCCGGGGATGGAGTGTACTCGCTCTAGAGCTGAATGTTTTTAAGACGTCAACCCAATTTAGTTAAACTCAGGCATGCTGCATATAGCTGCCTTCAGTAAAAATAGCTGTGTTAACTGACAGCATGTCACCACTTCTAAAATTGGTCCTCATGAAGCTACAAAATGTAACAACGTTGCATCCTGGATGCTCTGCAGCAGATAAAAAAAAGATCTTGCAGAGGGTAATAAAACCAGCAGAAAAGATCACTGGCTCTGGTCTTCTGTTGCAATCAAAGAGACTGCAGAAGCAAAGACACCACTCAAGAGCTTTATATAAGAGTCACTAAAGACAGATCTCATTCTGCACTCACTGTTTGACCTGTGCTAGATGCTACAGGTCCATCAAAACAAGGACACGTAGACTAAAGAGCTGTTTTTATTCAGCTGTGCTACATCAAGCATCATTACTGCAATACACTATGAGAAGTTCTATTTAATTCTCGACTCCTTCATATTAAAAATTATTTATTATCTTTTACTGAGAGGGCTTGGATTATTGTGTGAATGGCTTGTTTTTGTAGTGTTCTTTATTTTGGGAGTAGCACTTCTGTTACGTTGTATTATTTTAACACTGTAGACAAGATTCTGAAAATCTTGAACCTCACGGTGCTCTGTGTGGGCACATCAAGGACTAGCGAGCTGCTGAGACAAACTAAAGCATACTCAGGTGTGAATTGTGTGAGTGCAGGCCAGTGGGGATACAGGGACAATGGTTAAAAACTGTAATTCAGATATTCTCACTATTGAGCAGACTACAGTTTCAAGTCCTGCAACCTGTGCAAGAATCTTCCAGTGTCGTTATAAACAAATAAAAAATAAATAACTCAGATTTCACCCACACCAGTTTTCCACTTAAACATTTAACACACCATCTGCTTAAAGTTGCAGAGAAATAAAGACTAGATGAGCTTTATTTATAACAAGTTCCTAGGAAGGGGCACAACTGTGTCGGGTTATGCAAACTGAACATATGTTAAACAAAGCACAGACCTGTATGTGATGAACTTTGTCTCCTTTAACAGTGTCCTGAAGTCAGCTTTGGCTGTGATGTATTTGTCTTTGATGTAGTCTTCGAACTCCCGCTGTCTCTTCTACAAACAAGGACAAACAGGAGTCAGAACTCTAGAAAATGGAAGTGTACTTCACACAAATAATTAAACTCACATTATAATATGTTTAAGATATATCAGCCACTGTTGAGAAGGTTTGCAGTCCACAGGCAACAGCTTTCATTGTAGAGGAAGGATTATGAATAGAAACACCCCATGAATCCAAAACAACGTAAGCTGCCAAGTCCTTGAGATCATGACAATGAAAGTAATCATTGATTACAAGAAGCCTTTGAATAATAGAGTGAATTCATGCATGCGTTTTTTTTCATGCTGACATTTAATTTCTAATTTAGCGTTTGCTTCGATCTAAACGTTTCCTTGAATAGGACGGATGCGGTTCAGGCGTCTACTAATTGGAAGGTCGGCGGTTCAATTCGTGGGTCCCCCTACTCTGCATGTCAATGTATCTGAACCCCCATCCATTTAAATCTTTTAAGCTTCCCCAAATCCATCCATTGGAGTGTGAGCGTGTGCGAATGATACACAAATGATACACAAAACTGCTTGTATGAATGTGTGTGTGATGAGTGAATGAGGCTTGTAGTAAGAAACCACTTTGAGGGCTCAAACTCAGTAGAAAGCCTCCTTGTAGACACACCTATGTAATGGATTTCAAAAGGTTAATTGGCACAATGTATTCTTGGCATCTCAGCTCGCAACCAAAGGTGATCAGGAGATCCAGCACCACCTTATGGCAACAACCAACATGGGTTTAAACTAAGCAAAAAATGAATTAATTGCTGTTTTAATAAAGAAAAAAAATAGAGTATTTGTCCTTTTTCTGTCCTTCTGTAAACGATGGTGATGTTTTTATGCTGCAAACAGCAGAGCACATTGAAAGCGAAAGTTGAGACATTTGAACTGTGGAATTTTTTGGACTTCCCCTTTCTCGCATTTCGCTGAACAACAGAGAGAGTTTATCCACAATAATTACCACACACACCACCGAAGATTCAGCAGAGAGCGCGAGATACAGCATCACTTTCACTACCCTCCTTTTAAATTCAGATTCATGGTTTGGATTTTATTAGACGCGCTTTTAGTCTGCAGTTTCAAATCATCTTTTGGGCTGACTGAAGAGACATGGAGAAGGACTGGATTTATAATTCACTTTTGAATTATCCGATTCTTTTGTTTAGACTGGCAGTAAGATAAGATAAGATAAGATAAGATAAGATAAGATAAGATAAGATAAGATAAGATTTATTAGTCCCACACGTGGGAAATCTGTTGTATCACAGCAGAAAGTGGACAGTGCAAAGTTATAGTAGCAAAAATTTAAGAAAAACACTGGAATAGGATAAGAAGCAGCTGTGAAGACTGCTACAGGGTGTTTACTCCTAAGGTGTGGCATTAAGTGAGATTTTAAGTGAAAGAGACACACTACACTGCTTTCTTGTGACGTACTTTTGCAACACGACTAATCTCTTATCATCTTATAATAATATAAAGATGGGTTGGAGCCCATAACGTCTTACCCTGTCACTGGAAGAGAATTTAATACAACGAGGATCGTCTTTGATAACTTTCTTCACCTCCTTCCATGTGGTTGTCAGAGTAATCTACAACACACACAAAAACAACAGCCTTTTCTTTAAAATTGTCAGTGATCGAGCTGCAGATCTATCATATATAACGTATTATAAATATAACATATAAAATGACTTCTGGCACCTTTTTCTGTCCTGTTTTTTCACTTCTTACCATGCTGGTCTCATCCAGCAGTTGTCTGAAATGTTCCTTCTTTTTCTTGGCCAGCGCTTCTACATGTTCATTAAACAGCTTCTCCTTTTCCTCTCTCTCCAGCAGCGAAGCTGACTCCCAGCGATGGTCTTTCCGCAGGTTACGACGTGTGTCTGACCATGTTGCATCAGAAGAACGGACCTGAAGGGCGAATACAAAAACAGTCGTGAGAAGAAAAAAAACTGCTTGAAGGGATCAAAGAGGGAAAAAACCCATCTAGTAGGATTATCCCCAAAATAAGCAACACATGAACTGTAACATTTCAAACACTTTTTGACAAACAATGATCACAACTTAACGAAACTCACACATGATAAGAGCATGTGTTTTTTCACACCCCAGTGTTTCTGCAGAGCACCTCACCATGTCAGACATTAGAGCTTTGAAATGCTGGATGGCCTCCTCCCTCTTGTGCTGTTCCCTTTCTCGGTCGATCTCTTTGGTCTGTTCTGATCGAGCCTTCTGGACCTCCCGCTCCCTCTCTCTGAGACTGGCCTCAATACGAGCCTGGCGTTCCAGCTCTCGCTCCTTCTCAATGTCAATGTTCTGCAGGTGATATCACAAGAAGTCTGTGTAAGCTTCTTTCGATATGTTGCACTAAATTCTCTCTTTTAGAAATACAAGTTAGGTTGAGCTGGTGCCATATACATCAGGTCAACGTCCAGTTAGTTAACATTTATTACATGTGCACCTCCCTAAAAGTACATGAACAGTTATTATTCCAATGAATGCTTTCGAACACATCAGATAAACCCTGATCAGCACATAAACCCTGACATTATCTCCACAAAGCTGCTCCTACCTTGGCTTGTTTTTCCATGAACTGTTTGAAAAGCTCTTCTCTGAGTGCAGAACTCTCCACATTCTTGTATCGCGGGTCAGTCTCTAGCCTCTCTTTCACTTTGCTCCACCGCTGACCTCCCTCTATGTGCTGCTCACTCAGAAGATCAAAAAAGTCCTGCTTGACCTAAAAGAAAAAAAAAAACAAAACACGTCAAACTTTATTATAAATCTGTGTAAAAACAACGTCCGCAGCAGAGACGCAACTCTGGAGAGTTTAAGGCTAAGAAAGAAAGACGGTGCACTTTGAGGTGTGAGTGAGTCTTACCTTCTCTCCCCTAGACTTGGAGTCCTCTTTTTCTCTCTTCCTCATAGCCGTGATGAATTCCACAAAGATAGCCTCCCTGTCTTTCATCTTCTCTATGGTCTTAAATCTGGGATCTCGGCCATGCTTCACTGCAAATTCACTAAATGTTGTCCTGCAAAAAAGCAACAATGCTGATTATTAGGAAGCAAAACGACCCGGTACAAAGATATTTAAAGTCTAAAAAGGACCTTGCAAAAATACTGGTGGCTGCCAGTGCTACTCTTTAGCCTCCTAGTAGATGCACGCATCTGATTTTCAGAAAACTTGACCTCTGACCTTGAGGTCAAGGTCCTGACCTTTTTTTTGGGGGGGGGGTAGAATTTCAAAATACTACGCTACCTGGTTCCTGCATTTATTCATTCATAGCCGACCAGCCTTTAGCGGCTACAGGATAAAAACTGTTCAACATGTGTCGAGCTCTCTTCTGATGTCGCTTCGATGTCCTGCATTACTGTGTTGTGTTTGTGTTGCATACAAATTACATCACGGCACTTTCTCACCACCTTGCTATAACAACTAGGGCTGGGTATTGTCACTGATTTCTAGAATCGAACCGATTCACAAGGTCCCGAATCGATTCGATCCACGATTCCATTCAATTCGATTTGAATCGGGGAAATTTTGCCTCAGTCTATTCTATTCTACCATTATAATTCTGATCACGTATCAGTACATTTCCATATTTTTATATCTATAAAAAGAAAGCTGACAGTTGCGAGCCTTTATCAAAAGTGTAAGCATCACAGCAGATGCCTTTGTGTCGAAGTAACGGAGGATAAAACACAGAAAAACATGAAGGCGACTTTCCTTGCCTGGGATTTTATAGCAGATGACCTTAAAAATATTCTGCAGTAGATCAAAAACGAAAGAAAGTGATTAATCAACATACTGTATGAACATTACCTGATGCTGCTGAAGTGAAGCAGAGCAAAGTTACAGAGATTTTATTAGAGACACAGTTAAGCGTTTTGCAATTTTGCATAATTTTAAAAAGTTTACATTTGTTCAGAAGCCTATTGAACAGCAGAAATGAGGCTTTCTTTTCGGAAGTAAGTAAAAGGAAAAAAAAAAAGCGGGCGACAGCGCTGTAAACAGCGGTAGACTTGTGCGTAATAAGCAAGCGAATAATGCAGGAAAAATCATTTTAGATGGGAAACTGTTCTTGAAGTACAGCGAGAGAGAGAGACAGCAAGCTCTGCATGATGTGTGATTTTATCGTGGCGGAAGCAAAACAGCAAAACTAAGAGTGAATTCATGACGATGTTTACGTGAAGCGAAATGTGAAGCGTAGTTTGGATCTTCTTTTGCTGCTGGTTCAGTCAATATTGTTTGGAGAGAGACAAAAACCTGCAGCTTTTGAATCTAGCGCAAAAAGGGCATAAACACAAAGCGTGGACCTGCCGAAACCTCAGAATCAGTGAGCTGTCAGCTTTCAGCCCCGACCATGTCCATGCTGTCGGGTGAGAAAGGCGACGT